CCGAAGATGGGGGGCAGTAAGTGGGGGACAAGGGACCAGCACTGCAGTGGCTTGTGGAGTGGCAGCTAAAAAGCAGGGCTGTAAAAGACTTAAAAAATCCATGTGCTTCCAAGTTCCTGGAGAAAGAAAAGACACTTGGCAGCCTGGAGCCTTTCTTCTTTGTGGCTGTGAGGCCAGGAGTGGCTGGAAGCTGGGAAGCAGTTGAGCCAGGCTGTGGCAGCTTTGCCCACGCTCTTTGCTTCCTCCGAGCACACGTCCTCCATTCCCAGCTGGATGTCCAGAACTTTCTATAGTCCAGGAATCTCAGACAAGCCATAGGCCCCGCAGGCAGGGCCAATGCTAGCTCACACAGGTCAGCAGTGTCCCCTGGACCACTGCACCCTAAGGTTAGACCAGGTGCATTGTCTGCAAATCGGCTTTTCCTTCTTGAATTAGTTCTTGACAGTTGCTCTGGTCTGGGGGTGAGATGGGTAGGAAGAAACTGGCAACAAGAAATAAACTAGTATGGGGCAGACCCTTAGCCCGGCATGGCAAGGTGTGCCAGTAGTTTCAGCTACTTGGAAGGTTGAGGCAGAAGTGCCTGAGCCCAACTGGTAGACAGCCTGGGTGACAGAGAATCCAAAAAAGAAAGAAAGAAAAAAGGATGGCAGACTCCACCATCTATAGCAGAGTCTGTGGTCACTGCATTGGCTAATCTGGAAACATGATTTTTGACTCTCGGCACTAGCCCTGAGACTCCAGGGCTGAGTCACCCTCTGGGATTGGGTCCAGCTCCAGGACAGCGAATGGAGCATGGCAGTTGCCTTGTGCAGCAGGACCTGAGTCCTGCTCCCCAAGGGACAGAAACCACCCTTTTCACAGGGGAGAGGGCTCTCCTCACCTGGGGAGTGGTATATTCCTTTCACCAGGAGCCAGGGACAGGAATAAATTAGGCTTCAAATCAAGACTTCAAAGGAAATTTATTTTTTTTGAAAGGACTGAGGGGGACTTTACAAGAGTCTGAAGCCAATAACTAGAAAGGAAGATAAATAAAATACAAAGCAGTATGTTATGGCAAAATTCCAGAAAACACACTGAAAAAAACTTTACAGTTTAAAACTGCTTCACTTTGTACATAATTACAATCAATATACAGCACTGGGTTTTAACCCATCTTTTTATTTAATAGGATTTAGCACACAAATGTTCACAAAGCGTTTGGAAACAACCAATGAGAGCAGAGGTACCAGGTGTATCCCAGTCGCCCTGCACAGGTCTCCCTGCGCACCCTCTGTGTGTGGGCAACACAGGAAGCCACAAGGCTTAACCTGAACCACTGGCAGACTCGCTGGGCAGGGCCCATGTCAGTGCTCCAGGACTGTTCATGAAAAGCAGGGGAAGGCAATGCCGGAGTCAGGGGTGAGTGGGTTCTGTGCTTCCCACAGAAGCCCCTCTGGTGTGGCACAGGCAGGTCCTACCTGGTTGTAGGGCATGCCACTGCTTCTGTGGCGGGGGACACTTAGCCATTGGGGGTTGCCCACCTTTAAACCTTAGTTAGATGGAAAAATAATTCATGGCCTGTCAATCTTCTGACAATTAAATTAGATCAGTCCATGGAAAGACATCTTTATTCTCCCTTCCTTTTTTTTCCTTTAATGGCAGCATTAAAATATTTTTTATTTCAAAACCTGGCCAGCAGGCAGTTGATTCCAAGGCTCTGGTTAACTAGGAATGTTATGATACACTGAAAGAAAAATTAAGAACCAAACCCTAGGCAACCCCCTCAGGTCCCTCTCACTGTGGGAGCTTTTCTGTCCTCAATAAATCCTGCTTCCAAAGAACAAAAACAAAAACAAAAAAAACTGAACCAAACCCAAACAAAACTCTTTGCCCTCTTGTTAGGATGGATGAGGACAATGGGGTCGGCCAGGACACTGGCTGGGACACATCACGGTGGTGGCACGCCAAGACGGTCCTGCTGAAGGCAGGTAAGGCACATGTGTCCTGCATCCAGCGCCACCACTTCAACAAAGGGCTATTTCTAGGCTCCCACATGCCAAGGGTGGTCCAATACGGAGGGCAGGTGCCCTCCTGCAGTGTCTGGGGTCACCTGGTGCCACCCTCTTTCTGGCCACTGGACCCACTCACCAGGACAGTCTTTCTAAGCCCCCTTTCTGGGCTTGGCCGTCCTCTGGGCACAACTAGCCACCCATCGTCAGAGTAAACTTCAGTTGCAAAGCAAATGCCAAAGTCGAGAAAGCCTTAGAGACTAAAGAATGAAACAGAAAGTCTTTCTCTAGAAAGTAGTTTCTGGATTGAGTTCTGGCTTGTGCGGTTATGGTTCCACTCTTTATTTAAGGCAGGGCCTACTGAATTAAACTCTTGCATACTAATACCATCTCTCCAAATAATGGAACAAACCAACCCAAGGTCTCAAAAATGTGTGCTTGCTACTAATATTGAGGCCTCGAGAAGATGACAATTAAAGGGAGAAAATTAGCCAAGGGAGGACTTTTGGGTGGTACTGTATTACCCTGAGACATATAAGGGGAAAGAAGGTAAAATTCGTACCTTTTCAAACAAATTCTTGATAAGGATTTCTTCCCCACAGATAGCTCTCGTGGGGGGAGAAGGAATACGGCAAAGGTTAAATGTAGCAATTTTAACCCTCTCCATTTGCTAAGAAAACACAGTTAACATGTTTGATTGTCTCAAAAATGAAGTCAACTGATAAGAGCATTTAAAGTGCACATGTCACCCAACTGGGATGACAGCTACTGAGATGATTACAATTGAGAGAAGATGCAGGCTCCTTCGAGGAAGTTCACTAGATTCTGGAATCTGGAGACTCTGAACAGTATCTCCATCTGTCCCCCAAAACTGAAGCACAATTTCAGGCACCTGATTTCTTTAGCTTGATGGGGGAAATATGGTTTCCTTGTGGGAAAATAGTATGGGAAATTCAGTCTGAGTCACCCTAGAAAGCGATCCCTTCTTACAGAAGAGAAACTCAGAGGGCTTTAGGCTGAGCAACTAGAGCAACTCTCAAGGTCATGAGCACAAGCACCCACAGTCCCAGGTAATTCCCCAAGCACAATAACGAATCCCCTTGAGGTCAGTTTCAAAGGGGGAGAGAGATGCTGAAGGTGTGTAAAAAGCATTGTTCTTGGTAAGTGGTTCTCTTTCTGCACTGCAGACCATAGTCCAGATAAGGACGGGTGGCTGGGGGACCCAGGGACTACCTTCCGATTCTGATTCTAAAATTGTCCAACTGGAACCTGGGCAAACTGTTTTAAGTCAGTGGGGGCATGGGCAGAAGGGAACTCTCCATTTCTTTTTTTTTTTTAACTTTTAAATTTTTTATTTTAAAATTGTGGGGTACAGTTCAGGGTTAGGTATACAAATATTCATTGTGCAGGTACCCTTATTGATGGGAACACTCCATTTCTAAAAAAGACCAGAACGACCAATGCAAGTTAAGTATACCAAGCTAGTGAGGAATGAAGGACACCTGAACAGCAACATTGAGTCAAGCTGTGCTGTGAGGCACAGTAATGTACAGGACCTGCAGTGCTTCTGTGAGTTGCGTGTGGGAGCCCATCGGATCATCACTAACGCTTGCTGTCCCAAACCCGGGGAACAGGGTCCTTGGCCTGCACATACACAGGGAAGAAAGGCAGGTCTTTATACACTGCTGCCTTCCTGTGAACCCCAGGTGGGGAACTCAGAGCCAGTGGCCAGGACAGGCCGCTGAGTCTGCAGTGGGCTTGAGAAAGTCATAAAAGGCCTCAGTTGTACATGGAGCTGTAAGGATTAATGAAAGAAAGCAACTTGACTTTTTGCTGTTTAGGGTCTTTGTGGTTACATCATGGTTTTGATAGAAAAGTTAGCTGGTTTTGGTCTTAAAGTCTATTTTTGAAGGGTAAGAATTCTGTGACAAAAATAGGCAAAGATAGCTCACAGGTGGCAAGTTTCTTAATTCTCAACAAGGGAGAAGACATTCCTTGATAGAAGAATGAGGTGGGGCTACAAGGAGGGAAGGACACAACTCCTTCCCTTAAATTTCACCTGGGCCTTGAAGGCACTTTGAAAGACACTGCTGAGTAGGCACTGGAGGCTGCCACTTCACTCTGCAGTTCTGAGACAGTTTCAACTGCTGGGCTAGTAATGGTTCACCCTTAAAAGAAACACACAAACACAACACAACACATATACACACAATAAATAAAACAAATCTAGGCTAAACACTTAAACCAGACCTCTTTCAAATAAACTGAAAGATAAATATCTCCATCTGCAAGGCCAGCTTGCAATTCATCAACAAGCACCGAGTTACAGATTTTTTTTTTAAAAAGTGTGTTCAAAGACCCATCCTTCTGAGGGGCAGAAAGCAGGAACGGAAGGCCACATTGGAAGCACAGAATTTCCAGGTCTCCCTTCCTGGCACGCGGGGCCTTAGAGGGAAATGTTACCACAAAGTGTCCTGCACATACCAGCTTGTGAAGAGCCCCGAGCAAACAGACCAAAACACAGAAGACAAGAAGAAGAGAAGCAGCAGGCAGCGGCTAGGACCTCTTTCAGGGCAGAGCACAGCTCATCAAAAGACCTTTAAACATTTTTTAAGAAACCAATTTTGAAGAGGCCTCCTGACACAGCATGAGCACTTTCTAGACACACTGTCTGGCCAGCCCGCCTCTCAGGCTGCACTGGTGGAGACTTCTACACCTGGGCTTAACCCTGCACCTGTAACCAATTCCTGGATGTTTGCCCTCGAGTGGGGCCTTGGCGCACAGTTCCTGCCTGGTCTGGGTTGGGAGGCTGGTGTGGTCTTGTGGAGGAAGAAGTCGCCCTGTGGAGGTATGCCACAGGGTGCTCTTCAGGCGAGGGACAGTTGCCAGTTGCCCAGGGGAGCCATGAGGAGAGCTCAGGAATACTGCCAGGAGGTTGTGGCTATTTCTGAGTGCTCAGTGACAACCAGAAAGAGTCATGATGCAGGGATAACAGTGAGGAGGCCTTTCTACTTGACCTGTGCCCAGAACATATGGGCACACATTCTGGAAAGCCGGTATATTTCTTCTAGATTTGATGATAAAATACTATTTTTTTTAGTGCCCAAAACACTGAGATCAAGGTAGTGCAGATCATGTTTTTATACACGTCAAGCCTTCTTTCACTGGTTTCACAAACGTCTGTCATCCCTTCTAAAATGAAATGAGAAATACATACAAAAAAGGGGTGATGTGTGCACAGGGTGGGTGAAGGGTACCTAGTCTCTAAGGACTACCAGGTAAAGTACCCAGGGACCTGATCAGTCCAGGTGCCCCTCCTGTGCTGAGCTAGCTGACCACAGGGCTGGCACAGGCGGTGCATACTTCTGGCATATCCTATATGTATATGCAGACAGATCACTGTATATATACACAAAGTTCAGACTATCTGCTGTTTGGTTTTGGTGTGTTCTCCCAAATAAAAGGCAGCCAGAATTCAGCCTCATTTGGAAACACTCTTTCAGCCTTTAGGACTTCCCAACATGTCCAAAACCACTGCCTGTACTTCTGAGGCTACTACTTTCAGTGTAACATCTTGCATAGGGCCGGCCCCAACCTGTGAGTCCTTGGTAGTCACTAGTTATGGGTGAAGCAGAGTCTGGGCCTCCTTCCCCACCCTGACACTCAAGACAATCTGCTCCTTTTTGTCCAGGACCTGGGCTGCCCAGGGGGACTGGACGCTGAGGAGCAGTGGGTGTCCAGTGTAAGAGACTTGTGCATACAGGGACAGTAGGAGATGTGGGTTGGGAACCATCGGCCACGACCAGGAGGCAGCTGCCTTAGCAGACAGGAACGGGGTCAGCAGAAGATCTCCTCCCCCTCTGCTGATGCTTCTGATGCAGGACCATCTGGAAAAGTGAAAACCAAGAATGAAAAGAAATTCAGGAAAAAAATGTCCTTTTCATTTAACTTCTTCCTTCCCAACCAAAAATCTTCTGTGATGCAAACAGGTGACCGAGGTTTATGGGCAATTAACTTATCATGCACTGGGGTTTCCGAACACCATCTGATGCCTGCTTTAACTTTTACATAAGTACTAGAATTTTTATTTATAAATAAGCCTGGACAGTACAAATTTCTCTTTAAACTCCCACATAGAAGGGAGAGATCAATCTAAGGAGAAGGAACAGAGGACTCGGAAAAAGTGGCACAGGAATGGAGAGGCATTTAGTATAACATAATCACAGGCCCTGTGACCCCTGGGACGTCAGGAAACCTCCCTGAGCATCAGTCTCCTCATTTATCTTGGGGTTAGCTGCATCTACTGGATACAGTCATTTGAGGATGAAATCACCAAATGCTAGCTATTGTTATCCATGACTGGACTAGGCCTCGAAAGGATGTAGATAAGCTCCAGTTCCTCAATCGGAAATGCTTCAAAAATGACATCTGCATCCTCTGCTTTGCACATGGGGCCACACAGAGTGCCACACTTCACAAGTGGTCTGGTGAGGAGGAGGAGTGCGGCTTCTGCACATCTGAACTGCACCCTTTTGAAACGCCCCCACTCTGTCTCGTGCCACTAAAATTTATCCTCTCTTCAGAATGCATGGACACGATGGTCACAGGAGAGCAGTGTGCGTGACTCACCACCAGGCTGAGGGCGGCTTGCTTTGTTCTTCTTTTTTTTCTCCTTCTTTTCCTTTGGCTTAGCTAACCCAAACAGGCGGGTGGAGGCAGAGGTGGATGCTGGGGCCTGGCTCTGCCCCTCTGGTGCTTTGTTTGTCTGGCTGGTTGAACTCAATATATGAAAAGGCCCCTTGTCTTTGTGTGTCCGAGAGATACTGTTCCTTTTTGGGGACACTGAAAGTTCTGAGTCTAAGGACCCTGATTTGGCTATGGGAGGTGTGGATGGCACGGGAGACTCCTCGGGATTGGGGAAGAAGGATGGGATCCTCATCAGCTTGGTATGGTGATGTGAAACCTGCACACATACAAGACAAGGGGTGTTAAGTTGAGGCCACTGGTTCTCTGATACCCACTCAACAAGTGCTGGCTGAATTCAACCGGTTTTTACCACTTCTGTGGGCTCTCTAGAGCTCACTGTAAAAAGGTTCAGAACTCTTCGGTTTCATTTGCTGTCCTCCCTCAAGCAGTATCTATAAACAAGTTAAAAATATCACCTTCAATATTTTTATTACATATACTAATACCAGCATCATAAAGGATTAGTGGTACCTTTGATGAAACAACTTAAAATAACTCCCGCTCCCTAAAAAAACAAGCAGAGAGCTGCTTATCATCTTAAAGAGAGCTTTACACAGGGATGCAGACAATTTTCAGGGTGAAGAGAACACAGAGTCTGTTCAGGTGAGAGGGTAAATGGGAGAGCTGAGCTTATGCCAAGATCCTAGTCAAAGGTTAAACCAAAGAGAAAGGGGGTCATGTAATCTGAGTTCTCTCAGTTGCCTGGGAAGCATCTTTCCTCCTCTGTCAGAGCCCTGATGGTTTTATTGAGATTGGGGTGGGATCCATACTTGTGTCATAAAAAGCCACACAGAGCATTTGCTTCTCCTCACCATACATCTGAAAACCTCTGCAGAAAGCTAAAACTGTCCCTACTCTGGAGGATGCCAGTCTAATTTTCTTTCATGGTCCCTGGTCAATCAATCAAACATACGGCAAAATGATATGTGTTTCTAAAGGTGGGCAGATCTGTGTACACCCAGGCTCTCTATCTGCTGCCAGTGTCCATGCTCCAGAAGAACCATGGACCACCACTGAAATAAACATGAGAGTCAGTGTACTGAGTAAGTGAAAGCCTGACCACATAAGAGCAGCTACAGAGAATGAAAGGTTTCATCAACAGTTACAAGGCAAATCAGGAATGACACGGAGCCCAGCTGCCTGAACACCTCCAAGTCAGAGTATCTCTGTCCACGAGAGGAGCAACCACCTCCCGCTGCTTGCTGGGATGGGTCCTCAGGAGCTCCCATTACCTGACATTCCATCTGCCTCTGGCTGAGCCGTTCAGCATCTCGGCGCAGCTGCTCCTGCTCCCTCTCCAGCTGTTTCTGGGCTGCACGCAGCCGCTCCAGGTCGTACTGGTATGCGCCCTTCTTCTGCTGAAGTTCCTCCTGGTCCTTCTCCAGGTCCTGCTGGCCCTGCTGCACCCTCTCCTCACGCTGGGCCAGGCGTGCCTCACGCTCCCGCAGCTCCCTCTCGCGGGCCTCCCACTCGCGCTCATGCCGGCGCTTCTCCTCCAGGTGCTGCGCCTGCTGCTTCTGAAGGTTGGCCAGGTCCTGGCGCTGCTTCTCCAGGCTGCGCTGCTTCTCCTGCTCGATGAGGGAGCTCGGGCGGGATGAGCTCCGGGTGAGTGTTCTCTCGCTCAGCACCAGCTTCTGGTCCTCAATGTAGCTGTCCTGCTGCAACACCACACCCTGAGGGGGCACAGGGGAGGACAGCTGTGGGATGCCGGCCAGGAGGAAAGCCAGCTTCTGTGACCCCCCCGCCCCGAGGCACCAGGCACTATGATAGACCATGACTCTCCCATCATTTTTCAAGCTGGCTGTATGACCATACTCCAGGATAACCGTGGGCAGTTATCAAATAGGAACTGCAAAAGTGCAGGAGTCAGTTTTTCTCAAACCTGGTCACATGCTGTCTGCAGTCACTGGTACTGCCTGAGGTGGAATGAGCATGTATGTTTGGAGGGGATGGGGAAGGTGGGAATGATACAGTTTATATCTTCCAGAAAAGAAGTAAGCAGAATTTGAAGATATTCCTGGGAAGTGCTAAACAGCAATTGTTCTGGGAGGGCTGCTCTATTCAAATACCACACAGACATGAAATATGGAAGATCACATTAAAGGCTTTCTAGAGTGAGATGCTCTCAATTGCACATAGCACCCTCTGTGCTCTGTGGCACAGTTATCAAGCAGTGCCCATAGTCCACCAGCTGTCCACCAACTCTGGTCTTGGGTAGGCAGTGGTATTGAACCACTGCATGTTCTAGCTTTTCTTGTCATGAGAGCCAGTCTTCTTTAGATGAGGGCCTTATGTACCAATAAGCAAACGACAAACCCCTAAGATCCAGGTCATTAGTCCTTGTGCTGTCATTCTCTAAATAAGTGTGTGCATGGATAAAAGACGAAGTCACATACCTGCAGACTGCTAAGGAGTTCATGGAGATGAACAATGCTCTGCATGACCTGCTGCAAAAGGAACACAATGGAAACATGTATTGTAGGACTTGATGAATCTCAGGATCTATCCCACTCCACAGTTATCTGACAAGGTAGCGTCCTTAAAATACAAGGTACTTGTATTTTAATGAAATATTTTCAAAATGAAAGCACCAAAGAGGATAAGTGGGTACAAGCAGCCAAGAAAAATACAAAACAAACAAAACAACTGTGTGTGTAGAAGGAATACAAACACACACAAAAAATGCATTATAAAGCTTCCATTATTTAAAGTGGAACACAGATGGCATACATATCAATGTAACAGAACAGAAAGGCTAGAAAGAACCATAACAACTTATTCTATAAGTAGCACATTAAATCTATGGAAAAGGAAAGAACATTCAATGAATTGTTCTGTAAAACTTGGCTAAATTTCTGAAAAACATTAAGCTGGGACCTTGGCTCATATTTTTAAAAATGTTCAGACAGAGCCGGGCTTGGTGGCTCAGCCTGTAATCCCATGCCTTTGGGAGGCTGAGGTGAGTGGATCGCCTGAGCCTGTGGGTTTGAGAACCACCTGGGCAACTTGGTGAGACCTCATCTCTACAATAAATCAAAAATTAGCCGGGCTTGGTAGTGCACGCCTGTAGTTCCAGTTACTTGGAAGGCTGAGGCGGAAGTATTGCTGGAGCCCAGCAAGTCGAGGTTGCAGTGGCCGGGAGCGGCTACTGCACTCCAGTCTGGGCGAGAGTGAGACTCCAACTCAAAAAAAAAAAAAAAAAAAGAAAGGCAAAGAACTTGAATAGAAATTCAAATGAAAAATCTGAAAAAGGCTCTCATAGAACCAAAATCAAAACCAAAAAATACCCTAGTAGAAAAATAGGCCAGGAACACAAACCAGCAATTCATAAAAGAATCAATATGAATGGATGATTATGTAACATATTAAAATGACTCAACCTTATCTGAAATCAAATAAATGCAAATTAAAATAAAGAAATGCCACTTGAACTTGTATCAAACCAACAAAACACCAATTAAAAAATGATAATACTCAATGTTGGTAAAAGATGGAAGTGGGTACTCATGTATCTAATGAGTGGGGCCACATGTTGCTATCCCTTTAGATAGCAATTTGTCATGCTGAGGAAATAATCAAAGAGCTGTTCCAAAAAAAAGTATGAACAAGGATGTTCTTGGCTACATTATTTAAAAATCAAAAACAGAAAAAGAATTAACTATCAGGAAGGTTAAATAAATTATGGTAAACAATAAAATAATGTTTTATTCATTATTCACTGAATAATGTTTTATTCACCGTTCAACAGAATGCTTTGTACAGATATGCCTTAGGGAAATGGTTTTAGTGCATGTTAAGAGAAGAAAAAAGCAGGATTATGAAGCTCTAGGGAGTATTGATACAAATTGTATAAAACAATTCAGACATACAAACATATGTGGAAAAAAGGCTGGAAACAGAAACACCAAACATTTAACAGTAGTTATATCTCAGTGGTGGGATTATGATTATTATTAAGCAAGTTATGTTACTTTCTTACCACGAACATGTATCCCTTTTATAATACTTAAAAAATCACTTAAAAGCAAAAGACAAAAACTTAGTTACCAGGCTTAGCTCTTCTGAGAAAACTTTTTAGCTCTTACTTTATTCTTAATAAACAGACTGAGAGAAGTCACAGAATGCCTGCCTATGCTAGCACCATATCCAGAGAGTGTAACCTGTACTGGAAGGTCTTGTGCTAGCTGTTTCCCCAAGTCTTCTTACTAACTATGGGGGGGAGCTGCCAAGTGGGAAAATTAGCTAACAGCAAATTTTCAAGCAACAGATACGGCAGGCAAGCAGCATGTGAAGCCTGGGCTTATGTCTTTTAAAGACAAGCACACCAAAGTTAATTCCTTTAGGATACCACTGTATTCAATGTCAGCAAATATAAAACAGTATCTTTCTGTGTTTTATTTATTTATTTATTTATTTGAGTTGGAGTCTCACTCTGTCGCCCAGACTGGAGTGCAGTGGCTGGGAGCGGCCACTGCAGCCTTGACCTGCTGGGCTCCGGTGATCCTTCCACCTCAGCCTTCCAAATAGCTGGAACTACAGGCGCACGCTACCACGCCCGGCTAATTTTTTTGATTTATTGTAGAGATGAAGTCTCGCCGAGTTGCCCAGGCGGGTCTCGAACCCATGGGTTCAAGCAATCCTCTCACCTCAGCCTCCCGAAGCGTGGGATTACAGGCTGAGCCACCAAGCCTGGCTCTCTTTCTGTGTTTTAGGGGGAGAAAAGGAAAGATTCTCCTTAACTTAAAATTTCAAAACAAAGCTCCTCAGAGATTTAAGATATTATGTTAAAATCAAGAAGAAAAAGAAGAGCCAGGTGTGGTGGCTCACACCTATAATCTAGCACTTCAGGAGGCTGAGGCCAGAGGACTGTTTGAGCCCAGACTAAGCAACATAGTGAGACCCCATCTCTATAAAAATAAAAACTAGCCAGGCATGTTGGCACATGCCTGTAATCCTAGCTACTCAGGAGGCTGAGGCAGAAGGATTGCCTGAGCCCAGGACATCGAGGCTACAGTAAGCTATGATTATACCACTGGGTGACACAGTAAAACCCTGACTCAAAAAAAAAAAAAAAAAAAAAAAATCCACAAAAAAACCAAAAAACATTCTGGAGAAGTACACTCTAAAAAGCAACTGTCATATACATGACTTTAGTCTGCTTACACGAAGTCAAATGCACAGAAGTAATTTTGGATATGGTAGTAGCCCTAAAGACAGCTTCCTAAGAAGGAGTAAAGGGGCAGGGGAGGATGCCTGGAAGAGGTGCTGTTGCCCTGCAGGGTCATCAGAACTCAGCTGACGGGGAAACAGACTAGCTTCAGAATCTGACTTCTTTCTGGGAGGACACCAAGGCTACTTCTTAGTTGAAACATACATATGTTAAGTCAAAGACAATACTCAAAAGAAGAAACCTCAAGTTGAGTACTTAAAGGATAAGAAATTCCTACGAAGAATTAACCACAAGTTAAATGCCCATGTTCTAATCTGTGGCATTTGGTATCAGGTTTGTGTTGCAGTAATGGTTGCTACCAAATTCTACTCATTGTTCTTAGACAGAAGGAAAACACCAAGGAGGCTTCAAAGTCCACAGTTAAAGAAAGCTGATTAAAAGCAAGAGACTTCTAACTGAGTGTGGTGGCTCATGCTTGTAATTTCAGCACTTTGAGAGCAGAGGCAAGAGGACTGCCTGAGTCCAAGGGTTTGAGATCAGCCTGGGCAACTTGGCAAGACCTCATCTCTACTGTAAATCAAAAAAATTAGCCGGGCATGGTGGCATGCACCTGTGGCTCCAGCTACTTTGAAGGCTGAGATGGAAGGATGCCCTGAGCCCAGCATGTCGAGGCTGTGGTGGCTGTGAGCACGCCACTGCACTCTAGTCAGGGTGAAAGAGTAAGACTCCGACTCCAAAAAAAAAGAAAAAAGAAAGAAAGAAAAAGAAAAGAAAAACAAAACAAGAGACTTCGTAAGCCACCTTGGTAGGCGATTCTCTAACTGGCAAAACTCCAAGATGGTGCCCTGGGGTCAAAGAAAGGGGAAAAATAAAGGTAAAGGAAACTGACAACTGTATTGCTTTCGTGCATAGATAACAGCCAGGAGTTAGCTTGTTTATAACAGCAAAATGAAAATGAATATTCCCAGCAATAACAAACATAATCTTTTAAAAAGCTTATGTCCTTACCTCATTGTTTCTTTTAAGCATAAATACCAGGTTAGCATTTCCACTCTATAAAATGAAAAAACATTCATTTAAAAAATGAAGATCCATATTCAATGTGTTTCTAAGTTATACTAGAGTTTCATGTTTCTTTCTTTTCTACCACAGCCTCTCGATGCAAGGGAGTGAGGACTTAAGGTTGAACTACTTACTACTAAAGTCTTATAAAGAGATCAGGTTGGAGAATCTGAAACAAACCTCTTAATGAACCTGGTTCTGCCAGGGCCATGGTAGAGTTATGTATGATTGTAACTTTTTTTTTTTTTTTGAGTTGGAGTCTCACTCTGTCGCCCAGACTGGAGTGCAATGGCCGCTCGCGGCCACCACAGCCTTGACCTGCTGGGCTCCGGAGATCCTTCCGCCTCAGCCTTCCGAGTAGCCAGAATTACAGGCATGCGCTACCATGCCCGGCTGATTTTTTGATTTATTGTAGAGATGAGGTCTCGCTGTCCAGGTGGGTCTCGAACCCGCGGGCTCAGGCAATCCTCTCACCTCAGCCTCCCAAAGGCACGGGATTACAGGCTGAGCCACCGAGCCCGGCAATTGTAACATTTTGCTCTAAGTCAGAGAGGTCACATAGTCAATGATGTGGAATTCTGAGTTGTAGTTTGCTTTAAAAATGTGATTTCCTCTGAAAATAATTTTATTAAAAGCAGCAAGTCAGACATCCAAAACAAGATCAAAGAAAAATAATTTCAAAGATTACAGATTCCTAGGGAAGTGCCAAGGAGGTTCACAGATTGTGTATTTCATAAAAGGAATTACCTTTTTCAGGCCACTATCTGATTCTGTTCTCCTAAGATCTTGGCCATCATCTCCCTCTTCCTTCTCGCCGCCTAAACAAAAACCAAGTAAGTTTTTTTTAAAAAGCTGTGAAACACACTAGTCAAGAAAAAAATATGATATGGATAGCTTTGGAGACGTGATATTTCGGACTCCTATTAAAGAGAAGAGAAAAAGAGAAGCCACTTGGTGGCAGCTAAGTGAGTATTAATAATTTCACGAATGCAGAAGAACTGGAAATAGAAACGGGTATTATACTTCTTTGGCTTCAGTTTAGCTAAGATCCCAGGAAGATCTTTTTGTGACTCCAAATGAAGGAGTCTGACAGAGGTGCTTAAGTGTTTTAGGATCTCACTCAAACATTTACTGATTGAATGGGACAGAGGAGATATAGTTACTAAAATACATGCCACCTTTACTCATGTGAGATAGTCAAGGACTGCCTATGAAAGCACATGAGTTCATTCAAATCATTTACCTTTTGAAGCATTCATCTGATGGCTGTCAAATCCTCCAAAGGTCTCTGCTCTCCGAGGCAGGGAAACAGGGCCAACCATGCCTTCTTGTTCAGTGGGGCTGTTGACAGCTTGCCCAAGTGTGCCTCCCAGGCTTCCAATCACCAAACCCTGAAGGATCTCCACTGGAAAAGGGGAAACATGCAATGATATCTTGTCTCTTTTTTTTTTTTTTTTAAATTTTTTTTATTATTATAAAGATATCTTGACTTTCAATGAGAAAAAAAAAAAAAATTCATGGTATACATGACATATCCAGGGAGCGTGATCAGAAAGTTACAAAGAGTAACTTCCTTGTTCAAAAAACGGTCTCAGATCTCAGCTTAGGGTACAGTTTTCATTTGCACTGTACTAGAAATTTAGAGATGCAACCTTGAACTTTATGTACAATAGGCCTAAGAAAATTTGAAGGGGTACAGAGAAGGCATAGTAATTTACTGGAAGAAGCATGGCTTCTGGAGTCAGATCCAAAGCAGTCAGAAGATACTCCCCAGAAATTAAGGTTGAGAATATAAACTGGGAACATCAATAAAACAGGCAGGGTTTTTGGCCTCCCCTATAGTGAATGAGTTCATAGGGCTAGAGTAGTCTAAGAATTTGCATCCTCAACTCTGACCACAACTGGGAGTTTGTTTGTTTGTTTTTAAGAGAAGGGCCCACAGAAAGAAGTGCAGAAAGTGGAATAAAAGTTGAGCAGGAGAGGAATAACAGACTTGAAGAAAAATAAGGTCTAGATGGAATAAGGGAAGGAACCAGCGGCCAGAAATCTTATAAGACAAGCCATCATGTTTTTTCAAAAAAACACTACACAAAAATGACAGAAGAGTCCTATGAGGTGAGAAAAGCAATCTGAACCTAAAGATTTAAGAATTGCCCATAAAAATGAACAACAGGCCGGGTTTGGTGGCCCAGCCTATAATCCCGCACCTTTGGGAGGCTGAGGTGAGTGGATTGCCTGAGCCCGTGGGTTCAAGACCGCCTGGGCAGCGAGACCTCATCTCTACAATAAATCAGAAAATCAGCCGGGCGTGGTAGTACGTGCCTGTAATTCTGGCTACTCGGAAGGCTGAGGCAGAAGGATCGTCGAAGCCCAGCAGGTTGAGGCTGTGGTGGCCGGGAGCGGCCACTGCACTCCAGTCTGTGCGACAGAGTGAGACTCCGACTCAAAAAAAAAAAAAATGAACAACAGAAAATACTAAAGTCAAATCCCAAATAAATTTCAGAAAAGAGGGTGGTGGTAGGGAGAACAAGGGATATTAACTTTCCTACAGATAATAAAAGCACACCAGAAAGACATGTCCACAAAATAAGTGAGCTAAACACATTAAGAAAATGACACAAGACATGGAAGAACCCAAGTCAGAATTAGAAAATACAGTAATGAGATGGCAAAACTCAAAGAACTGGAAACAAAAGAAAAAAAATTCTTACAGAAATGTAAACAAACTAGACTATAAGAGCAAATAAACCCAACAGAAAATGGCTTAAAAAGATGAAAGGAAGAGATCAAAAGTATTAAGATAAAGTGATAAATATTAAAGACAGAAAAAGATCCAACATTTAGATAATTGAAGTTCTTGAAAGAAACCAAAGCAACAGAGAAAATAACAAAAATTGTAATTCAAGAATATTTTTCTAAAATCTAAAAAATTTGAAACTCTGTATCAAAGTAAAGCACTCTCAACCCGAGAACATCAACCCAGAATAACCAACACCAACACATATTCTCACAAAACTACTTAGACTCAGAAAAAAATCTTTGCATTTAGTCTATGAGCATATGACTTACATGGGGAAAACCAAATTATCATCAGACTCTGACAGCAATGCTTTATGCCAGAAAAAATAAAGTAACATGTTTGAGTCTAATTAATACCCTGGGGAAGAACATATGAATGAGCCAGGAATTTTATATCCAGCATAAGAGACTTTCAAGTATAAAGAGCACAAATTATGACTGGCATATAAAAACTCAAGGGATATTATTCTCTTGAGCCTTTCCTGAGGCACGTGCTAGAGAATAAGCCTCACAGATTCAAATGACTGGAGGGACACTGACCTACAGACTGGTGGTAAGCATTAACTATGTTCACTTGTAGAACACAGACTACACGTCAGGGCTAAGAAGGCGAATTTACAATATGTAATGGTTATGAGATGACAGTGCAGACATAGAACAGCTATTCTTTAAAGAAAAAGAGAGAGTGGGAATAGCATGTAAAAATCATATTCAGTGGCAGTAGTACTGTTATGTGATACTGTTATGTGTGTGAAGGTCAGGTAAAATCAGAAAGTCAATAAACAAAATTCTAATTCTATGACGAGTCTTCGAGAATGAGGATTCCCAATATGGAAGAAGACAGATGTAATACAAAAACACAAAACAAAACAAAAGTCTGTAGTCCACACTCTGATTAGATATATCAATGTAATTTCATGAGAGAGAGAGAGAGAGAGAGAGAGAGTGTGTGTGTGTGTGTGTGTGTGTGTGTGTGTGTGTGTATGTATTTTCCCCCCAAGCTCTGTCCACTGAAAAGGTACACCTTAGTAATAATGAAAAAACCTAGCAGCAATGACCATTCCTCAGTGCCCAGACTCAAAATATCATTTCTCACTAAAAGAAGTCAGAGCTCTTGGAGAAAGGGATGATTCCGGATCTGGGGCAGAAAACAATCGAGATGAGTCTGCAACAACTTACCATTCCAGAGAGCACAGAGGCCCTCAAAGACTACTATGGTCATGTCAGTAGGACTCAGAAGCCAAACAAAGGGCGGCTCACTGGCAAATAGGATAATAAGGTTAAGAACGGCAGTAACTTGAAACCCATGAAATATGTTTAAATTCACGAGTCCATAATAATATATGTTTTACAAGTATGAGTTACCTTCAGAAGATGACCACAGAACAATTCACTATCTTGAAAATTGGTAAATAAAGGAAAGAAATAAAACATCAAGCATGTATCCTTTTATCCTGCTTTCTCTCTCCATCATAAAAAAAGAGACAACTAGATATTTGTGACTCCCAATGAAAGAACACAACACTATAGGAATACAGCTTGCCAAAGGGATCATGTCTGAGTAATTAAGCCTCTGAATTCAGCAGCAAATCTGAAGGAAATAGAGGACAAGACTGCTATATGAATAAATTCAACCTATGAGAAACTCTATAAGTCAAAAAGCTCAGATTCCTCAAAGATAAATTGTATCGAAAAGAAGGAGACAGTAAAGAAACTAAGAACCTTAAAATGCTTATCAAAAAACATGAGCAAGACTAAACCATAGAGTCTAGGAATAGGCATGTGGGCCATAAAGCTATAAGGAGACAACAGTGATTACTAAAACAAGTCAGAATACCTGCTCCTTTTGGAGGAAGGGACATGTGAGAGGGACAGGACACGTGGAGGGGCTTTCAGGGTGCTTGGCCATAGTTAATTTCTTGACCTGGGTAGAGGTTATAAGAATATTCACCTGATGATATATCTATTTTACTATAGTGAAATATTTGTTTTGGGTAATTTTCTGTACTTGTGCTTTATTTTACAGTAAAAAAGTAAACACTGGTAGGTAATATTAGTGTGTGAAGCACTCTGGGAGGAGATGAAGAAGAGGCAATGCTGAATGTAAATTACCCTCATTTATTGCATTTTTCATTAAAGGTCCTCCTTTGAGAGCCTCTTCTGTGTTGGAGCGGAAGAGGACTCTAGGGCTGTGCGTCGGGGAGCAGTCCTCTGGCAAGGGAGTGCTGCACTCAGCCATGTCCCGGAAAATCATCTCCTTCTCTTCCAATAAGAGGAGGATCTGTTGGTCCTTCTGTTGAAGTTGTTCTGCAGGGTGGATGGAGAAAATGATCTGTGATTTGACTCGTGTTCAGTACCGCAAGATGACTAAGACATGAGCACCACCTTGTGGCCAGTTATGGAAAGGGACAGACTATGTTCCCTGCCCTTTTTCATCATGACTGCAGTATCAGGTTTTCATTTTGTTATTTTTTATTTTTTTTTTATTTTTTTATTTTTTTGAGTTGGAGTCTCACTCTGTCGCCCAGACTGGAGTGCAGTGGCCGCTCCCGGCCACCGCAGCCTCGACCTGCTGGGCTCCGGTGATCCTTCCGCCTCAGCCTTCCGAGTAGCCGGAATTACAGGCATGCGCTACCACGCCCGGCTGATTTTTTGATTTATTGTAGAGATGAGGTCTCGCTGCCCAGGCGGGTCTCGAACCCGCGGACTCATGCAATCCACTCACCTCAGCCTCCCAAAGGCGCGGGATTACAGGCTGAGCCACCGAGCCTGGCTCCATTTTGTTATTTTTTAAACATTGAGTCGGAGTCTCATTCTGTCACTCAGGTTGGAGTGCAATGGCACGCTCACAGTCACCGCAGCCTCAGCCCACTGGGCCGAGGTGAACCTTCCGCCTTAGCTTTCCAATTAGCTGGAATCACAGGTGCGTGCCACCACATCCAGTTGATTTTTTAAAAATTTATTATAGAGATGAGGTCTCGCTATGTTGCCCAGGCTGGTCTCAAACCCATGGGCTCAGGCAATCCTTTTGCCTTCACCTCCCAAAGTGCTGGGATTATAGATGTGAGTCACCGTGCCTGGTTGTAATTTCTTTTTTAAAAAAATGCTTTGAAGACAGGGACTCACTCTGTCACGGAAACTGGAGTGCAGTGGCATGATCACAGCTCACTGTAGCTTCAAATTCCTGGGCTCAAGTGATCCTTCTGCCTTAGCCTTCTGAGTAGCTAGGACTATAGGGGCTTGCCATCCCACTTGGCTAATTAAAAAAAATTTTTTTTATAGGGGTAGGGCCTTGCCTCAAACTCCTAGCCTCAAGTGGTCCTCCCATCTCAGTCTCCCAAAGTGCTGGGATTACAGGCATAAGCCACCATGCCTAGCCTCTATTCTGTAGTTTCTATGTGGAAAACCATCCTAGGTCTTTTTGACAAACCTGAAATTCTCACACAACAAGTCTGCACTTTGCTCCCACACCTTTACCCCTGTTTATTTCTCAACCTACTGTTCTCTGGCTTTTGCTCCACCACTCTACAACTGGCCTTCATGGTCAACTGTCTGTATAGTGGGAACTAGAACACCTGTCTTGTTGAGTTACTAACAAGACTACTTACATACTGGATAAGTAGTGGTCAAACACAGACTAGTAAGTATCTTTCTCTCAAAACCACCTCACAACTCATTTGTGAACATATGGATAAATGATAAAGCTGGGAACTTACAGGAAGATTAAAACCAATGAACTGAAGAATTCTTTTCCTCAAATACCTTTCTCTCCTTGTTTTAATCTTAAACGTGACTATGAATTTTGGCAAACTCTGTGACAAAGTACACAGAATGTCACCAGGCTCCAAGAACACTGATCCTGAGACAAAAGAGTCAATATTCTCCTGATCTAGTCCTGGACACATCTTTACAGCCATTCTTCACCCAGGCCACGTCAGCTTGGACTTGAGTTCTCTTGTTAAAAGCTATTAATCTCCCTGTTTTCGAGTGTCTGCTAGGGCAGCTTTGGAAGTGAGAGGTAGCTAAAACCACCAGCAGTCTTCTGCAACTTCAGACATTCCAGACAAGGGTTTCAGACCACTTTCAACGCCTCACCTTTTAATTCCCGGGCTTTGGAGTCCAACATTTTCTTCTCTTCCTCATTCTCACTAGGAATTCCTTCATCTTCATCTCTGTTCCTAATATAACCCAAACAAAACAAGACAAAACAAAAAATTCCTAAGATGTCAATTACTCTGGTCACAGTCCAGTCTACTATGAAATCACATAGAGACAACAGGAGGGCTGGGAAGGGTGGGCTGTGGTGTCTAACTTACAGGGTGTTGATTGTGTCCTGGATGATCTGAATCCAGCTGTTTCGCTCCTCTTTGGAGCTGGCATGAACTTCTACCATCTCTGGATCTTTCATCCCCATACTGATCAGAAACAAACCTTTTTCCTCATGTGCCACTTCTCTTACAATCAGCTTCTTTAAAGAGATCACTGTAGATTTCTGGTCCTGGAAAAGGGAGAGAGGAATGATATACCATATGTATATAATATTCTAACTCTTAGGGACAACCTTGATCTCAGGTAAGACCAGATGCTGTTTTAAAAGCATATGGTTTAAAAAACAATGACAGCTTTAGGATAAAGAGAAATATCTCCTTATTTCATTTAAATTTTAACAAACAGAAAAAGACTTCCAAAAGTGAAATGATAATTTATGGCTACAAAGGTTGTAGTCGTGTTTTGTACATGATGAATCTACCAGGTTCCCCATAGAATCTGGTCAGCAATATCATACATAAGCACCATTTATGGGGCCAAATGTGTGAGAAATACTGACTTCTTTTTAGATCAAATTGTCAAATGTCTAAGATACTCAAAAAGATTGGGCTGAAAAAGAAAAAGAATTTTTTTAGGGTGGAGATGACAGAAAATTGTGAGGATATGTAGGAAATTACTCAGAGGAATTTGTCCTGAGCTATTTAAATTTTTTAAAATTTTTTTACTTTTTATACAGAGTCTCACTCTGTCATACAGGCTGGAGTAGTATGATGTCAGTTCACTGTAGCCTTGACCTCCTGGGCTTACCTCAGCCCCGAGTAGCCGGGATTACAGGCATATGCCACCATGCCTGGCTAATTTTTGTATTCTTTGCAGAGATGAGATCTCACTATGTTGCCCAGACAGATCTTGAACTCCTGGGCTCAAGTAATTCTCCCACGTTGGTTTCCCAAAGTGGTGGGATTACAGGTGTGAGCCACCACGCCTGCCCCCCGAGTTATTTAATTTTAAGAGGGTGGGAGAGCAATAATACAATGTTTACATTCCATAACCTAATCCAGCTGTTCTGAATACTATTAAGAGGATAACACTTCAGCTTACCAATGATGCAAAGATGTATTTCTGATCTTTTTCTTGAAGGAAAACTAAAATGTCAGTGAGCAGAACTGCTTGAACCTCTGTAAAGTAGAAATGGGAAAAGGGAAGAGAGAACAATGACTAATAGTTGAACCATGGTCAGAAGGGTTTTTATTGAAGGATGATTCAGCAATACACCCCAATAAGGGCAAACTGTGATCTGAAATCACACTCCTCCAAGGCAACAGCTTTACAGTTCTACAAGGTTCCAATCTGGGCACTAGATTTTTAGAGGTGCTTTAAAATGGGATTGACCACCAAAACCTTGTCTTAGAAAGTTTAAGCACTCAGTCCCGGAATGATATATCCCATAAGGTAAGATGTTAACAACAGAATACTTTTAAGAATGAAGTTTAAAAGCTGGACTTCAACAGATGTAAAACAGCCACACAGAGCAACACACTCCACCAAATACTCTGGATGTAATATTTCTCAACTTCTGATTACAGTAATGGGAAAGGCATTCTAACAGGAGGCAACAATGCTGCCCAAAGGAGATGTGTACAGAAATATCTAAATCTCATGCAAAGGAAACTTCCTTCTTGTCCCCAAAAGAGCAAGAGTGGCCCACACAGATGTCCTCCAGTCTTACAAGAACATGCAAGTACAGGGCTCTTCCCCCAGCTCCCACATGCAACGGTCAACCTCAACCACTAGGTACCGTGGTACAGCCTCCTTTCCTCCAATAAAACAAAACCCAAATTAATATTTCTAGCTGGGTTCAGAAACAAAAGAAAAAAAAAAAAAACGCCACAAACTCTTGCTCTGACTAATCTTCTAGGAGCATGAGTTTCCACTACTCTCTTAAGGACCATCTGACATCCCTGGAGCTGAGCCATCTGCTGTGTGCTGGCAGGCCGACCCCTCTGTATCATCTTCACTCTGGAAAGTGGAGCCTACAACTTCTGGGGAAGAGGATGGAGACGATTTATGCAGCCCCCTCCTGTTTTCCTTCAACCTCTGCCACAACCAGAATCCCCTTTTCCATGGAATTCATTGCAAAGTTTGAAGAAAACAGAAGCAAGAAGGGTATCTGATTCCTAGAGCAGTCTCAATCTTCAGGCTTAACTACTGTAATATTCCGTGCACTGCCATTAGTTTTGAAAAGTTTTTTTTTGTTGTTTACTTTAAAATAATTCAAGTGCCTGCCCCTCCTCCAAAAAACCCCAAAAAACCTCTAAAACATCAATTTCAACTTCAGTGTATCCTGAAATTTATATGATCGATGTCAATGGATCAGAGAAAAACAGTCCCACCCCTTCCAAAGGGTTCTCAAGACAGTACTGGCTGTTCTTGGCATGAGTTCACTTGGGGGTGAAAAATGACTAAACACCAACTTCTATCTCCACTGGAGGCGTTTCAGGCCAGAAAACCTATCATCCTGCCATTGGCCTGACCACACTTTATTCCAACAGCTGGAATCTATTAGTTTTTAGTTTGGGAATAAATACACTGCTGTGCAAAGGAAAGAATAAAGTGCTGGTTCCAGGCAACAGCAACTCTAGGAAATTCAGGCCCTTACAAGGAAGGCCAGGTATGACTGGATGGCCAGCCTGCTTAAAAGACAGTCTCCAAGTGACAGTGAGGAGACTGTCCTGAGCTGAGCTAGGGCTCTCAGAACATCATGGAACATTAAAGAACTGGAAGGAAGGAGGCTTGGTTTAAGTTTATCAAGGAGCCGTGAAATACACAGTCAGTTGGTGCAAGAAGAGCGATTTCTTTTCTCTGAAATTACCCTGCACTTCTTTTTTTATGCATTTTGCCACAATGGAGGCCCTATGAGCGCTTCCCTGAGTCATAGCAATAGCCTCCTGATGTCTCTGTCGCGGTCTTGGTCTCTGCTCACTCCTGCTGAACTCTAAACTGCCTCTGGTCATTATACTAAAAGGCCATCTCATTGATCTCTTTCTTGCTTCACACCCTCCCTTCTGAACCCATTCTTTGCCCCAGCCTCATCAGCAGTACCACTATCAACTCTTCCATCTGGAGTATGCACCCACTACAACCTGGTCCCCACAGCATCTTCAGAGTGATTTCCCATCACACCCTGTCACTTGCTCTGCCATCTGTGCGAGAGCCCCGCTGCCCACCCTTCCTTGGATGTGCCATGCTGTTCAACTCCGTGCTTCCACACTTACTCTTCCTACACTGGAACGTTTTCTCCCTCTCCACCTGGCACCTTCCTCTGCGTCCGTCAAGCCTTGACTCCACTGCTGTCCCTCAGCCTTCTCCTCTGTTCCAACACTCAACACATGGCAGAGCAAGCATCTCTTTCCAAGGCTCTTCCCTTTGATCTCAAGGTCTAATCAGGGTGTCCTGCTTCATTTAGCGTAGAAACCACTGATTCCCTGGGACTTCTTTACTGTTCTAAGCATGGTGAGACTCTGACAGCAGTTACCTACACATTACTACTTTTTTCTAGAGATGAAAGCAGCACATATTTCCTCTAACTCTGTTCTATGCAGTGGGGCTGACAGCACTGGCCTCGCCTGCTTCATGCCCACTGAGGCCAGGGAGAAGGCAGGGGCACAAACGCACAGAGTACAAGTTTGATACACCCCCCCCACACACACCCCCAAACATACAGATGAAACAAAAATAAACCTCACCTTCCTCAACTTAATATAGCTGACCATTTGAAAAGTGGTAATTAAAACCATATAGAAAATAAATATCTTATGATTTCTTTTGCTATAAAGACTTTTACCATATATGAATATTATAAAGTATAATAATAAATAATACATAGTTGATGTGAGTTAAATTTGCCTTTTCCTAAGGTCTCAGAAGCTGCAAATTCCCTCAATGTCTCTTGTGAACAAGCGATGTGTTTTTAATCTCAGAGTCTGTGAAACTGTGTCACTGTGTCTCCCTCCTTGCAACTGTTTTGCTGCAGACCCCAATCCCAAACTGGCTGCCCAACTCTCGTAGGGGAATACGCCTGCCCCAACTGCTTATGTATTTGCACTAATCTTATCCTTTGCTTTTTAAAATATATTTTCATTTTTCCTGATTACATATATCATTTCCTTGTTAGTTTACTGTATTTCATGATTGATTAAGCTATCACAAATCAGTTCTTTTTTTTCTTTCTTTTTTTTTTTTTTTGAGTTGGAGTCTCACTCTGTTGCCTAGGTTGGAGTGCAGTGGCACACTCATGGCCACCGCAGCCTCAACCTGCTGGGTTCAGGTGATCTTTCCACCTCAGTCTTCCAAGTAGCTGGAACTACAGGTACGCGCCACCACCACACTTAGCTTATTTTTGATTTATTGTAGAGATGAGGTCTCACCAAATTGCCCAGTCTGGTCTTGAACCCGTGGGCTCAGGCAAACCTCTCATTTTGGTGTCCCAAAGTGCAGGATTATAGGTGCAAGCCACCACGCCTGGCCTAACTCTTTTTGATATAAGATTAAGAACAAATAAATGCTTGTTGCTCCTGGGTGTTGTTTGGATATGGGCTAAGAGAAAACCTGGTGGTGAATTTCCAACTAAAATCCTTGGATTTTGCTTGTTCTCTTCAGGATACACTTGGACAAAAGTGTGCCAAGTCTTACCTTTCAACCTTCCTGCTGCACTCTTCAGAAACACGCTCCCATCCCGCACAAGCTTCTTCCGTTTCAAATCCTCCTTGGCAAACATCTGACCACTCTTCATCCTCATGATTGACTTGCTATCTGTCTTTGTATAAATCTCATTGAGACGCACTTTCTTTTCATAACTTGCCACTTTGCTGTCTACAGCTCCAATCACATCCTTCACCAGGTTCAAGGACTGTGCCAGATCTTCCTGTTCCACTTCATTGTCTTGGATGGAAAAAATAATGCTGTTTAATGGCTCCTTTCAACAAGAATAGAAGGGGAGGGAAGCCTGTCTTCTTGTTCCGCACGATCATTTTTGCTTTGTGGTTATGCTATCAGAGGGAGGTCAACACATCAGAGGTCATGTGTCTATCCCTCTTGCTGTTAAAAGTTTAATTCTAAATAAAGGTAGAAGTTTTCGATGATATAAATAATATGTAACTATATTCTATATTCTAAATTAAAAGGAACCAAACATTTTTATGGAAAAAGAGTAGGAGAGAGAGGAGTAACAAGGTTTTTTTTAATCGATGTCTTTGCTTTACCTAATCTTTAATGTACTGCCTTGCAATCTTAATGTAACTCCCTAGGAACAGAATTAGCCCAGATAGAGAAACCAGTAATTACTCATTAAATGACAGCAGCAATTCTAGCACTTTTAGGAAGAATTGGTGGGAATTCTCTCTCAGTCTAGTGATAAGGGAAAAGTAAGTTGTTAGGTCACTGAACTGCTTGCTAATAGAATAAGTGGTCCCTTTCCTTCCTGTTATCATCTATCCTAAGTTTGGTAACATAATAATCCAAGTTTTTACTCAAGAAAACTGTTTTCAAGGTAAAACACAAGATCTCTTTTAGACCTAATAGAGCTTGAGATGGTTGACCTCTGGGGCGTCTAGTGCTACTGGACATACAGGGAAACAATGCGTTGGCACACAAGACTGAGTTAAAAAGGGACTCACCTTTGGTGCACTGCAATATTCTTTGGAACAGAACTGGGTACTTGGTGATCCGCTGGGTTACAAGTAATATGCACTCTGGGATTCCAAGCCTCCTTACAAGTGAACTGCTCATCTTCTTCTGCAAGGGAGTAAACAGATTGTTAGAACTGACAGTGATGTACTGCTCTTGACAGTGACAGAAATTTTCATGTTTCACATCAATACCTTTACAAAGGCTTGAAACCGCTTATCCTTGGTAAAAAGGTCTTTGAAATAGTTTACAGACTGGTTGTGCTGTCCACAAAACTTGCCATATGTCTTCTTTAAACGTTCTGCATTCTCACCTGAAAACTGCAGAGAAAAGAGAACAGAAGTCATGCCATAATCCCGGGTATTATAAACTCATAATGCCATTTTGCAAAAAGTTTCCCATGTACTTGTAAAAGTCAGAAGTACTTCCTCATAAATTCTCCCAAAAGATTCAAATGGTGCAGCAGCTTTGGGAAACAGTTTGGTAGTTACTCAAAAGGTTAATCATAGAGTTACCATGTGACCCAGCAAAATTCTACTGAGATGTATACCCGAGAGAAACAAAAATACATCCACACAAAAATGTGTACACAAATGTACATAGAAGCACTATCCATAGCTGTCCAAAAATGAAAATAATCCAAATGCTCATCAATGGATAAATGAATAAAATATAGAATACTCACATAATGGAATATTATTTAGTCATAAAAAGCAATGAAGTACTAGCAAAAGAAAGTATATTAGTGGTTGACTAGAATTGGGGCAGTTTAGTATGTGTGAGTAGGGGCACTGGGAGTATTAGTAATGGGTGTGGACTTCTTTTTTGGGTGATGAAAATGTTCTAAAATTTACTGTGGTGATGCTTGCACAACTGTGACTATATTAAAAACCATTATATTGTACACTTTAAATGGGGTGGATTGTATGACATATGAATGAAATCTCCATAAAGCTGCTAAATATATTTCAAAAACAGCCAAAACTTAACAGAAATATTGATGTACTGTATACATAAGATGCAAAATACGTTCTAATTTCCATTTGTCATAAATATAGTAATAAGACATGGAGACTCATTACAAGTTTTTCATGAGATACTCAGTCTTAAAAATCTGACTCTGATGAGTCAGACAGCAGAAACAGCCATCATTACTTCACTATCTGTTTATTCTACTTACTTCAGGCCAGTAGTCTTAATAATTCTGCATGGCCCTTAAATAATTCCTAATGTGTGCAATCTCAACAGTTTATCTGAAGATATGTTCACTTTGGGATACACCAATGAGTTTCTGTATGTAGTCCAAAAGATAAAGGCTAAGTATGGATCTTTGTGTACTAAAAATCTTGGGAGGCAACCCAAACCGATCCTTACCAAAAAAAAGGTTCAGAGTACCTTTTCCTTTATCCATTTACCAATGGACAAGCTGAGACAGAAGGTGTAAGTTATCTGCTCACACCATAAAGCAAATGCCCTAAAGGGCTGATCTTAGCACTGGCACACAAAACCAACAAAGTGTGGATAGTGGGACCAAACATTGAATTCTAGCAACCCAGATCTTACTAGGGGTGTACACAAATACAGGGGGGGATTCCTCCCCCCGAAAACCTGGAATTATTTTTTGGAGGGTGGGCTCCTTGTAGTACCCCTGCTAGGTAAGTGTTCTAGGAACCCATTGGCATCAATGTACCAGCTAGCATTGTTGTGAGAGGCTGTATTAGGCTTCAAAGAATTATTTTTGGAGATTCTTTTAACATGTTTGCCTATTTCATAATGGGTGATTTACGAGCACACATGCTTATACCACACTGAGTGTTCAGCAGTTTTTGACCAAAACCAACATGACCCCTGTGCCCCAATCTCCCTATTTACCCTATCTCGCTCCTAACAATTTTTTTTGTTTGTTTCACCAGATGAAAAAAGTCCTCCAAGGGAAACATTTTGCTGATGTGGAAGAGTAAAACAAAAAAATGGCAGGAGCACTAAAAGGCATCAAAGCTGACGTCTTTCTGTTTTCTCTGTCTCTTTCACAACTACGTGGAGCAAAAAAAAAAAAGTCATCAAAACTGACAAGTTCAAAAACTGTTTTGAGCAGTAGAAAAAGCATCTTGATGGGTGTACTGTATCAAATGTAGAGTACTTTAAAGATGACAAATTTAAACATGTAAGAATAAATACACAATTTTTAATAAATTCTGAGTTTTTTGGGTCCCCCATGTACATATGTTATGAAGTATTTTACAGATAGGCACGTGTCCAATTTTTTTTGCTTCAGTTACTTTTTTAGGTAAATGAGATCCTTTTGATTTGAGATAGAGGGGAAAGTTGAAGACTTCCAACAAATAATATTTTTTAATTATTTAATTTAATTTTATTTTTTTTTGAGTTGGAGTCTCACTCTGTCGCCCAGACTGGAGTGCAATGGCTGCTCCTGGCCACTGCAGCCTCGAACTGCTGGGCTCCGGTGATCCTTCCGCCTCAGCCTTCCAAGTAGACGGGAATTACAGGCATGCGCTACCACGCCTGGGCTGATTTTTTGATTTATTGTAGAGATGAGGTCTTGCTGCCCAGGCGGGTCTCGAACCCACAGGCTCAGGCAATCCACTCACCTCAGCCTCCCAAAGGCGCGGGATTACAGGCTGAGCCACCGAGCCTGGCTCCAACAAATAATTTTTAATTTCTTTTTTGATTTATTGTAGAGATGAGGTCTCGCCAAGTTGCCCAAGCTGGTCTCGAACCCGTGAGCTCAGACAATCCTCTCACCTTGGCCTCCCTACGTGCTGGGATTATAGGCATGAGCCACCATGCCCGGCCTTGGTTTCTAAACTATATTGTTTCTGATAATGGCACAGACTCTGAGGAAGAAAACTGATTTTTACTGCATATCTATAATATATGTCAGGTATTTTATACAGACACTCCCTTTAACTTTCTAAAAGAGCGGTAGGAGAGAAACCCCACTGTCCTCATTTTACAGAAAAGGAAATCAAGGCTCAGAGAAATTAAATAACATCCCTGAGCTTACACAGATAATAAATAGTGGAGCTAAGAGATGAATGCCTGGCTGTGGAGCCACCAGACTCCTCTTCTCCAGGGATGTGAGAGAACCTGAGCTCCTTCCTCTGCTCACCTGACTCTGTGGGGCCTACAAAGTCTCGTTCTCCAGGGTAGTAAGAGAACCTGAGCTCCTTCTCTCTGCTCACCCAACTCTATGGAGCTTAGCATCTTCTCTTCCCAGGGCTGTGAGAAGAACCTGAGTTCCTTCCCACTGCTCACCTGGTTTACAAGCACATCCCCCATCCTCTTGATAAGAAAGTTCTTTTCACTTTTATCCACCAGAGACTCCTTCTTCCGCTCCAGGATCCTCTGAAAGAATTGGCTATGGATACTAATCAGCTCATCCAAACAGGGAAACAGCTTTTCCACCATCTGCTGCTCAAAGAGCAGATCTGTCATCATACCCCGGCTGTACACATCACTCATGATCTTGAGGGTGCGGATGTGATGGAACTCTGTCTGCATTAGCTCTAGAAGGAAGGGACAAAAACCAAGGGTCAGGGATACTCTTTGATAAGGTTTATCCCTCAAAGATCATGTCGTCATAAGGTTCACTTAGATCTCAATTTAAACTTTAAAACTGGGTCAATAGCTATCTTTTCCCTAAAAGTGTTCTCATTTTATTCCTCCATTTTTCATGTGACCTAGCACTATTTTGTGATGATAGTAACACTGGATTCCATGAGTCTTAAATAGTGATTTCTAATGAGGTCTTCACTGGATTTAGCACTCCTCATGATTGATTATGTTCTTAGTTCCTAGGGATGATTTGTGTTCAGTCTATTTTCTAGTATAGTTAAGGAACTAAACTGTACTTTCACAAGAGATTGCTTTCTAGAACTGCTGTATAAATAAGACTCATTATAAGTTAAATGTTTAATCAAAACTAATAGAGTGGGGCAAAAGGGAGAAAAGGATGCAAATAGGACTACGTATCTTTACTTTTAAGTTTTTAAAGGAAATCTTTAAAAGAGGTAATATACGGAAAAACTGATTTTCCACAGTCCAACATATTACCAGCTTTAAAATGCTGGGCAATTCAAATCCAATCAAAGAGCAAAATGAAATTCTCACCGTAAATCACTTCTTGCCGTTTGACCACATCTTTCTTTTGCTGTTTCAGAAACTTGCTGTCTACGATCTGACTCCAAGACTCTGCTTCCAGTTGTTTGGAATCAATCTCAAAGTCTCCCATTAGTTGGCCTTCATTCATGTCTGTACCTACTCCTCAAAATGTAAAAAAAATCAATATCAGAATCTTGCTTTGACCTCTAAAAAGCCTATGCTGGACTTTCCCCAAGGTGATAGTGGATATCTATCTTATGACACAGAAACTCTGAGTTAGGGGATATTCATGGAGAGGTTATTCCAGTACTAGTAAAGAATCAATGTCCTGTTTGGGAGGAACAGATTCTATATTCAAGGCTTTAGTTGAGCATGAGAAACATCACATAAATCAAACATGATTAAGACATGACTCCTACATGCAGTAGGAATTAGAAGGAACTGGGACCTTTACATGTTTAAGAGAGCAGGCTTATAAGTGTGCCGACAGCTAAAATGTCATGTGTCCAGAAGTTCAGGGAAGAAAAAGCATTGTACTGAAGAGTATGCCCTCATTAAAATCAATGGCATCCTTCCATGGACAGCTAACAACTGGATAAGGAGTGATTACCAATTCACTACACAGCATTAGATGCTTTACAGACAATTCAGGGAATCTTAACCAATAAGAAAGAGGCAGGCATTATTATTCTATTAACATTTGCATTCTAGGGAACAGGGCACAAAGTCTTCACAAAGGCATAAAATAGAGGCTGTAACTTCCTCTTACCCTCATCAGTAAGTGATTCTGTTGACTCATTGACCTTGCTGATTTTATTTAGTGAGTCTGTTGAATGAGAAAGGAATTTCCAGGTGTTTGACATGTTCTCATCATTGCCAACTCTGGGGACAAAAAGAAGTGCAAACTGTCAACAACTATGCTCTGACAGGCCATGGCTTGCATTTTTAAATGAGCACCTGAAGAACTCCAGAATGACTGCTGGCTGGGAGTACAATAGTGACTGAAGACAAATTGCTTATGGCAGGTAAACAGCAACTGACACACTAACTGTTAACGAAGTTTGGAAGCATTTAGTATCATTATAAACTCAAACTTCGTGACAATTTGAGTCTTTTTTTTTTTTAAAAGAATCAAGAAGAACTTTCTTCCCTCAAACCACGTACATATTACATAAGAAATTTCTCTGTTTAAAACTTATTGCCTAACCAACATGACTTTTTTTGCCCTTACTCTAACTACAGACTGAGCACTTATGACAAACTATGTTCTTTGAATATCCTCAATTCCAATTCACCTGTTAGCACAGTAGGCACCTAACAGATATTGTATGACACAAAAGCAAAGATTCATTTAAAGCCTTACATTTAATTTAAAGAACAACTTTTCAAAGTTACAATGAAAATAAACTTTAATAACATTACAGTTATTATAAGAGAGCTTTTGGAGATAATGAAAGTACAAAGACAAAACAAAAATAACTAAAGCTTTTTATTTTTTTAAAGAAGGAGGAAATATTAGCTAGCAGAGAAGTTAAGAAATACAGACATAAGGAGATTTTGCATCCTTTAGTTATGAATACTCCTGTAACCTAGGTTAAAGAGATGTCTTGAGTCTGAAATTTGAGATGACTTGTTTGCTTGATAGTCAAGGCCTGGCCAGGAAATCACAAAAGAAACACAGTGCAAATGAGTAAGTAGGAAGCTAGTAATAGTTGGCCCATAATCCACCTCCACAAAACTGATTTCAGAATTAAAATGCACAGATGAAAAACAGATTTAAAAATAAAAAACCAGGCTCATCTGAACAATAGAATCGTGTGACATTGAAAATATAAGTGGTTGCAACCCAAAATTCTGAGTTAAATCATTTTTTTCTTATTTCTACTTCTTATTTTGATCCAGAAATCATCTTTTTAAAACTCAAGTTCTTCAAAAGCAGAGCTTATCACATACAAAAGCCTAGCGCAACCAGCCAGAAGTATTTAAAGGAGGTCCTTGTGACAAAATGACATCATGATAGCGCATCAGAAACATCCCCATCCTCCTTGCATACACCACTCAATGGTTTATTTCTAAAAGAATAATCTTTTTGTCAAATGATGAGCTTGCTATACTCTTGTCAGGTAGATATCAACTGTGCTTCTTAAAAAAATTTATTATGAAATTTTTTTTTTAATTTTTAGAGATAGGAATCTGCTATGTTGCCCAGGATGGATTCAAACTCCTGGGCTCAAGTGACCCTCTTGCCTCAGCCTCTTGAGCAGCTGGGACTACAGGCATTCACCACCATGCTCTGTGCTTTTTTTTCCTTCAATTTTTATTATAAAGATGTGGGGTACATTTCAGGGTTAGGTATATAAACAGTGATCATGCAGGTACCCTTGTTGATGAGGTATGCCCCACCCTCCCCTAGAAGTTTCCCTCAACTGCCAATCACACTCCCCCCACTGCCCCCAACAGTTTCCCACTACTGCCAATCACTTTCTTATAGCATTGTAATTGTTCAAGGTCAGTTAATGAGTGAGAACATATGGAACTCAGTTACAAATAGGCCCTTAAAAAAGTGGGGAAAAAGCTGGGCTCAGTGGCTCAGCCTGTAATCCCACACCTTTGGGAGGCTGAGGTGAGTGGGTTGCCTGAGCCCGCGGGTTCGAGACCTGCTTGGGCAACTTGGGGAGACCTCATCTCTACAATAAATCAAAAATCAGCCGGGCGTGGTAGCGCATGCCTGTAATTCCGGCTACTCAGAAGGCTGAGGCGGAAGGATCGCCGAGCCCAGCAGGTCGAGGCTGTGGTGGCCGGGAGTGGCCAGTGCACTCCAGTCTGGGCGACAGAGTGAGACTCCAACTCAAAAAAAAAAACAAAATAAAATAAAATAAAGTGGGCAAAAGACATGAATAGACACTTCTCAAAAGAAGATATACAGGCAGCAAACACACATGAAAAGTGCTCAACCTCACTCATCATCAGAGAAATGCAAATCAAAACCACACTGAAATACCACCTAACCCCAATAAGAATGGCCATCATTAATAAAACAAACAATAACAGGTGTTGGTGAGGACGTGGAGAAAAAGGAACGCTTCTACACTGTTGGTGGGAATCTGTGCTATCTTTAAACCTCTACTTACCCAGTAATGTTCTGTATGGAGACACTTTTGGAGAGTGAGACACTCTGCTGGGACCGTCTATTAGCAAACATTGGGGTAGCAGTGGTTTCATCCGCCAGGAGGACTGCAGATCGAGGGCGCTCTTTAGGCTGCGAGGCTGCAAAGAGAAGACATGATTGAAGTATCATTATCCCTGCCCACCTAGTATGGACTCATCTGACAAATGCCAAACAGAAGCAAGATGCTTTAAAACAGATTTGCTCTGGGACTGTAAACTGGCATAAAACTCTATGGAGGGCAGTCTGGTAATCACTATTGAAACAGTAAATGAGCCGGGCTCAGTGGCTCAGCCTGTAATCCCAGTACTTTGGGAGGCTGAGGTGAGTGGATTGCCTGAGCCTGCGGGTTCGAGACCCACCTGGGCAACTTGGTGAGACCTCATCTCTACAATAAAATAAAAAATTAGCCGGGCGTGGTAGCACGCGCCTGTAGTTCCAGCTACTTGGAAGGCTGAGGCGGAAGGATCACCGGAGCCCAGCAGGTCGAGGCTATGGTGGCCGGGAGTGGCCACTGCACTCCAGTCTGGGTGACAGAGTGAGACTGCAACTCAAAAAAAAAAAGAAACAGTAAATGTCTAGATTCTTTTATCCAGTAATTTCACTTTTAGGCTATGTATATTCTACAAGATGCACTTGTATGCTTTTGAAGTGATGTATGCCCAAAGTTATTCAATGCAACATTCTCAGTACATGTAAAAAATTGCAAATGACACAAATGAATGTCACAAGAAGACTGGTTAATAAGTCATGGTGCACCATGTATCTGAAGACTATGCAGCTTTAAAAAAAAAAAAACGAGAACTGGTCAGGTTCAGTGGCTCAGCCTGTAATCGCAGCACTTTGGGAGGCCGAGGTGAGTAGATTGCCTGAGCCCTCAGGTTTGAGAACAGCCTGGGAAACTTGGTGAGACTTCGTCTCTACAATAAAATAAAAAATTAGCCAGGCGTGGTAGCGCATGCCTGTAGTAGTCCTCAGCTACTTGGAAGGTTGAAGTGGAAGGATCACCAGAGCCCAGCAGGTCAACATTGGGGTGGCCATGAGCGTGCCACTGTGCCCCAGCTTGAGCAATGGAGTGAGACTCCAACTCAAAAAACAGAAAAGAGAACACTCTATGTATTGACATATATCTCCAAGATATATTAAGAAATGGAAAAATCAAGCTGTAGAACAAAGTAGATAACAGGCTCTCTTTCATGCTTAAAAAAAAGACAAGCCTGGGCAATATAGCAAGACCTTATCTATACAAAAAATTAAAAAATATGCTGACTGTGGTGGCATGCGTCTGTAGTACTAGCTACTCTGGAGGCTAAGGCAGGAGGATCCCTTGAACCCAGGAACTGGAGGCTGTGATGAACTGTGATTATGCTACTGCATTCTAGCCTAGGTGACAAAGTGAGATCCTGACTCTAAAAATAAATAAATAGATAGATAGATAGACAGATAGATAATAGTAACCCAAGTATTTCACTTTACTGTAATAAAGGAACTCTGAGAAGATACAAATGAAGAAGACTAGCTATCAGCGGAGTGGGATGAAAATCAGGCAATGGGGATAAAAGTTCATGTGAATGGTTTATACATCTCAAAATATAAACTAAAAACAAAATAAGAGCCAGGCGCAGTGGCTCATGCTTATAATCCCAGCACTTTGGGAGGTCAAGGTGAGAGGACTGCCTGAGTCAACAGATTTGAGACCAGCCTGGGCAATTTGGTGAGACCTCATCTCTACAATAAACTAAAAAAAAAAAAAATTAACTGGGCGTGGTGGCATGTGGCTGCAGTTCCAGCTACTTGGAAGGCTGAGGTGGAAGGATCGCCTGAGCCCAGCAGGTCGAGGCTGCTGTGGCCATGAAGATGCCACTGCACTCCAGCCTGGGAGACAGTGAGATTCCAACTAAAAATTAAAAATAAATAAATAAATAAAAACAAAATAGGGCTCAGAGAATTTTAAAGGTAAAAGGAACCCTTGAAATAACTGAGACCAGTGTCTTTGGGACCACCCACCACAAAATAACTGAAGTACTTATTAGACTTGAAATTCCCAACCCTCCTTGTTCTCTAGAGGCGGGACCTGGGAGTCTATATATTTTTACAGATTCAAGTGATTCTTCTGCTCATTGTTTGAGAGCATAGATTTCAATCAATTTCCTTATTTTTCTGTCTTTCTTTTTTTGAGTTGAGGTCTTACTCTGTTGCCCAGGTTGAATGCAATGGCATAATCCTGGCTCACTGCAGCCCCAGCCTCTTGGGCTCAGGTGATCCTTTTGCCTGTCTCCCAAGTAGCTAGGACTACAGGCGTTCACTACCATACCTGGCTGACTTTAAAAATTTTTTTAGTAGAGAAGAGGTCTAGCTATGTGGGCCAGGTTTCTCTCAAACGCTTGGGCTCAAGTGATCCTCCCACCTTGGTCTCTCAAAGCACTGTGATTATAGGTGTGAACCAATGCACCTGGATAATCAATTCCTTTAACTTTCATGTCATATAACTACAACTGACTCTTGAACAGACTGGGTCTGAACTGTGCAGGTCTATTTATATGTGAATTTTCTTCTTCCTCTGTGACCCCTAAGATAGCAAGACCAGTCCCTCTTTCTCCTCCTTAGTCTACTCAGTGTGAAGATATTGAAGATGAAGACCTTTATGATGATCTACTTCCAGTTAATGAATAAATATATTTTCTCTTCCTTATGATTGTCTTAATAACATTTCCTTTCCTCTGACTTAATTTATTGTAAAAATACAGTACACAATACATATGACATACAAAATATATGTTAATTGACTTTTACCAGTAAAGCTTCTTGTCAACAGTAGGCTACTAATAGTTAAGTTTTGAGGGAGTCAAAAGTTATATGTAGATTTTTGGCCATGTGGGAGGCCAGCACCCCTAATCCTGCATTGTTCAAAGGTCAACTGTAATTTGTTATCACACTGCATATTTCTCCTTAACATGACCAAAGAGGAAACCGGAGATCTAATTTGCTAAAGTGGTTATGCAGGCACTTGGGTAACAAATTATTTTCTTTGGTAACTGAGTTCCTGCCCCAGACACAAGTTTTACTATCTGTCTACCCCCAGGAGTGCCAAGAGTTGAAGGAAATAAAATAAGGGGGGACTCTTATGACTTCACCATATTTAAGGATTTTTTTTTACTTAGTAAGCATTAATATAATCATTAATTTCAAATATGAATTCTGTTTAGAAGAAGATGACACAATAAAACACCAGGAACACGATACACCACAACATGCCCAGTCTCTTGCTGCAGGAAGCACACAAGGAATACAAGATGCGGGTCCTGCCCTGCTCTGCGACCCCACCCAACAAGAGCAACTGGTGTTAATGAAAAAGAGAAAGGCCTGGAGCATATCCTAAGTGTGTCAGATGGGAACTCAGCAAGCTGATCAAATCCGATGGAGGAAGGAACACTCTTGAAGAATAATAATAGCAAGATGTGGACAAGGTCAGAAGGAAGTGAGGGGACAATTCTGATGAGCAAGTGGAGGATATATTTAAAGGTTCAGTGAAAAGCTGGAGAAGCAGAATGAAGCCATCTCATGCAGAGGCCTAAAAGTTATAAAGCACAACTTATATCCAAAAGGCAGCATAGGGTCATAAAAAAACAGCGTTTCCTTGTTTAAAACCAATCCCACCCAAGTTGGTTAATATCTTTGAGCCTCAACATTACTTAGTATTGTTGAGCCTCAGTTTCCTTATTTGTGATAATAACGATGACAGGAGTGAAAGATCACATTTAAGGTGTGCCTTCTACTAAGTACTTCATAGGTATGATGTGATTTAAACCTAATTACCACCCTATGATACTATTATTATTCTCCTTTTACAGAGGAGGAAAATGAGGCATAGAGAGGTTTAGTAATGTCCAAGGTTACACAGCTTCTATGTGGTGGTGCTGGGACTCAAATTCATATAGTTTGAATTCAGACTGTACTCTTAACCACTATATTGCCTCAGTGGGATAAAATAGCAATAAGAATATTTGTGGGGGTCAAAGGTAATACAAAAAGAACCTGGTGCATAACAAGTATTTTTCTTTTAAAATACATATTATTTTATCTGATGTGAAATAAAATAGGTTTCTAAGACAAGGGATAATGTCACAGGGAAAAAAAAGAGTTAAAGGAAGATGTGACTTGTAAAAGTGTGAAGTGGGTGGAATCATGGACTGAGGTGGCAAAGCTTCTCTTTTAGTCATGTATGTGCAAAGATGAATGACCATATGTCTAAAGGGAGTCATTCCTCTGTGGGAATACAGACTAGTATAGCCATTCAGAAGCTATCTGGAAGCACTTAGAAAAATTAGGCATAAAGCAGTGGTTCTCAAGCTTGAGTGGTTATCATAATCACCTGGAGGATCTATTAAAATACATAGCTAGTCCCACCCCAAAGTTTCTGACTCGCAGGCAAAGGCAGGGTCCAGGAATCTCACTCTGATGCCCAGACTGGAGTGCAGTGGCATGCTCCCAGCCACTGCAGCCTCGACCTGCTGGCCTCCGGTGATTCTTCCGCCTCAGTCTTCCAAGTAGCCGGAACTACAGGTGCATGCTACCACACCTGGCTAATTTTTGATTTTTTATTGCCCGGGTGGGTCTCGAACCCGCAGGCTCAGGCAATTCACTCACCTCGGCCTCCCAAAGTGTTGGGATTACAGGCTGAGCCACCAAGTCTGGCCAAATCTACACTTCTAATGGATCTGGAGCTATACTTTGAAAAACACTGCCTTGCAAAAGTCTCACATAGGTTCCCATGGAGCTCACTAAGATGTTACTGCATTATTTATGGGAATGATTAGGAGCAATTTACATATTATGTCTTTGGAGGAACTGATAATTAAAATGTGATATATGTTTATGAAAGAATACCATGCAGCAGTCTGAAACAAAAGCTTACAATAACACAAAGATCTCAAAACTATACTGAATGAAAAGAACTAAGCAGAATATATAAGCATATGATTTACATTATCTAATTTAAGTTCAACACACAAAATAATACATTTTTTCAAAGATATATATATGTCTAAAGACACAGAAAACTAGCAGGACATACACACTGAATATACTACAGTAGAAATGAGATAGGAAATGGAGAATAAAAAGGGAAAAATATTAAGTAAAATCAAAGTGGAGTTATGTACACACTGGTGAAAATAGTTTGATGTGAATGGGAGAGCATGATTTACTCAATTTTGTGTACCACTTGAGGTCCTTGAAAAAAAATGAATCATTTCTACAACTTCACAGTTCATAAAGAAGTTTATCAAACAAGACCTTATTTGATTCATATAACTGAGGGGCATGAAAAGGAAGCTATTTTATTTCTCAGTGATTACTACAGAGGAAATTGAGATGCACAAGGGTCACTTGCCTAAACACACAGGGCAAAGGTGTGGAACATCTTAAGCAAATGCACACACTAGTCTAGAAACCTTCAAAGAGGGTTTGATGGTACAATGTTAAGCTACTGGACAAGGAACCTGCAGGATAAAACAGCAGCCTTTTCTAACTTACCATAAAAAAGGTACTCAAATCTTGACTACGAATAAATGAGCATTACAACAGTATCTTTACGTCCAGAATCAGAAAGTCAGAAAGGGCACTGTGAGAGGTGGGCTGTGCTACTTACGCTTGTTTCTCATGATGACTGTGGGCAGTGATGACGTGTCATGCGCCTGAAGGCTCCCTTTGGGCTGCTAAAGAAAAAGCAAGTCAGTACAGGAAGATTGCATTGAAAGTTCACCCTCTTTCTAGTTTCAAGAAGCCTTGAGCAGGAAGAAAGCATTCCACCTCCATTCCTGCTCGGTTTCCTGCACCGCACTCAGCATCCACCATCGCCACCTTGCCATTATCTGAACCTGCCAATCACTCTGATGCCACAGATGCTGTTCCTTCTGTCAGAGATGCTTTCCTCCCTTTGCAGGCCTGGTATTCTCCTGATTCAAGACTATTTCAGTACTGCCTCTGTGAGAAAGCCATCCACTGGCTTCTTTCCTCTCCTCGTCCAAGGAAATGACTGACATACCTTTCTTCTCATTTGTGGTGACTGTCTGCCTGTCCATCTTCCCCACTAGACTGCTGGTCCTTAGGAGTGGCACTTGTGCCTTTTCATTTCTATCTCTCTAGTGATTTGCATTTATAAGGTGTTAAATTTTTAGGCAAAATGCTAATCTTAATTAAGACTTTTGCTGTAGCATGTAACAAAAATACTTTGAGAAATTACAGATTGATGCAATTAATCTAAATCATTCTATAGAGTCTGGTACAACAGCAGTAAATCTTACCAGAGATCACAGACTCAAATGATTATGGGGCCAGGCAGGTAACAAATGACAGAAGCAAATTGGGACGGGGTGCAGGATGGAAGTGGTCATTTGGAACACGCATATCCTGTCTAAAGGGGGCAGCACCACTCAGTTCCTGGTGATAGTTGTTTGCCATCCATCCCTACCACGTGTAAGGACCTATAAGCCAGACACCATGCCAAGTGCTCGAGTTCTATTGATAGATCAAAAAATCCTGCTTTCAGATTGGCTGGCAACTTAGGAGTTTATATTCTGAGAGGGGAGAGGTACAGGCTGCAAGAAATCTATATAATCAATAGGGATGGCTAAATGTAGACTCTGAGAAGGTGATAAGTACTATTAAAAAAAGGAAAAAGAGCAGGGTAAGGGCACCTGGGAGTGCTGGGTATGAGGAAATATCAGTGGCCCAGGGTTGTGAGACCTTCCAATTTTTAATGAGAAATTCAGAATTCAAACTGATATGACACATAATTTTTAAAGAACTACAATAACTCAAATTTAAAACAAAACATATCAATGGCTGAATAAGATTTGGAGTACAGAAATTTGCCATTTTTACACTAGGTCAGGCTTCTCAGAGTGAGGTCTTCAGACCATCAGCATCATCTGGGAACTTAATAGAAATGCAAATTCCTGGACTCCACTCCAGAATCTGAAACTCTGGGACTGGGGCCAGTAAGCTGTCTTTTAATAAGCCCTCGAGGTGAGTCATATGTTTATTCCAGATTAAGGCCATCAAACTTGATAAATATGTTTGTTATGGATGAACTACACAGCACATTACACATCTGTATAGATGTATATAGATTTGAATACATTTATGGGTGATCAGAACTCTGAAAACCAACAGGTACTACCTAAAAGGTATGCCCCTAAATCACACACTAATTTTAAGGGGCACTGAAAAAACATTATTACATAGCATGCATGCTCAGAGCAGGTACACCATACCACAGGCACTTATTCTTACATCATGTGATCAAAACCACCTACATGTGCCTGACGAGAAAAGTGCCACAGGATGGGCTAACAACACCCTTCAAATCCTGCACTAGCAGATTAAAGCCCCTGATTTCCACTTGCTGCCCTCACGGTACCGAATGAGGAAGGCAGGTGTGCAAATAGCAGAGTTTAGAAGTGCAGATGTGGTTAAGAAGAAAACCACTTTAACAGCAACACAGAAATATTAAAATAACAAATAAATGCGTATTTAATATGCAGAAGTTCCAAAAGCATTTTCTTTTCCAAAAGTCTCAAATTCCCCAGTGCTAATCAAGAAGAGGATTGATTACCTAAGAGAAAAATTGTATTTTGGTCTCAAAGTTGGCACCAAATAATTAAAATAAACAAGACCTACAGCAGCCTCAATTCTCCCAACTCCTGAGGACTTTACTGGTTTAAACTCTTTATTTTAAGCCTTCTTTTACCCAGAAATGGCTTACCTTCATTTTGACCTTTGCACAGGAGGCCAGACTTTCTCGGCAGCCTTTGTGGACAAAAGCACTGCAATCTGAAAAGAAAGAAAAACCCAGGGTAACATTGACAAAGCAAATAGATCCTAGATTCTGACTTTCCACCGTAGCTACAAGAAGCCTCTGAATTTCAAAGTGAAGTCACTCACATGTTAAGAGTGTGACTCAGCCAGGCTTGGTGGCTCAGCCTGTAATCCTGCGCTTTGGGAGGCTGAGGTGAGTGGATTGTCTGAGCCTGCGGGTTCGAGACCCGCCTGGGCAACTTGGCGAGACCTCATCTCTACAATAAATCAAAAAAATTAGCCGGGTATGGTAGCGTGCGCCTGCAGTTCCAGCTACTTGGAAGGCAGAGGCAGAAGGATCCCCAGAGCCCAGCAAGTCGAGGCTGCAGTGGCCGGGAGCTGCCACTGCACTCCAGTCTGGGTGACAGAGTGAGACTCCAACTCAAAAAAAAAAAAAAAGAGTGTGACTCTAAGTGAAATTACATAATGCAGCCCTCTTCTAGGAAGCAGGACTGTGATGCTATTTGAAGGAAAAGAAACAAGAGCAGATGTGATTTCTAATCAACAAAACCTACCTTACAGGAAGCCAAGAGAATACCAAAACTAAGAGTAAAAGAGCCTGCCATCAATATGTAAGTTTAAGTTACTATACGCACATAGAGTACCTAACAGGGGTTGTAACATTTGCATGACTGTATCCCAGCATAGAATATAAAATCTGAAAAATCTACCTGCTACGTCCTTCTACTTGGGACCTTAACTACTGCTGAGCTTTTTACAGCTCACTCTCTGAGACAAGAGCCACACACGAAGAGTCATTAGAACCACCCACAAGTGTCTCTGGGAACTCTGACTCAGGAGAAAAAGGAAGACTTCCTAAAAGATAAAGCAAAAACCACAATTTGGAAAAGGCACGATTTTATCTCAGTTCTTATTTCTTATCCCCTTAGCCCACAAGGGCCACTGATGTGAAAACTCGGCCCTCTGCGCCTCAGAAGGGTCACCTTTGGCTTCGAGTGCTGCTATGAAGTCATGAAACAGAACTATGCCAGGAGGCCAGAAGTGAAGTAGAAACAAATGAAAGACTTGTCTGTGGGGGCCACTGATGAGGAGAGACTCTCCTGGGAAAGGCTCACTCAGGAAACCAACCACAGATACCATTCACTAGGCAGTACTTCACAGATGGATTCAAGAGGCACCACGAGACTCGTCCATGTCAGCTCATGAGTTAAAGGCCAACATCTCTTTTAGCTCAGACATATGGATTTGAGGGCGACTGGTAGGATGATAGGGCAGGGGAAGATACGAGAAAGGAGACTGTCAGAATCCCAGACCCCAAAGGCCTTTTTCACTCTTTCTACAACAGTTGCTTCTTCGACACTCACTTGGTTCACAGGTCTCGTCCTTAACACCACCTGTCACAGTGTCTTGAGATTATCTTAGGTTTTCTCCTCCACTGGGTGCTCCCCTGAGGCAGGGACCATTCACCCACCGCTGAATCTTAAGTCTCCGTAGCACAGTGCCTGGCTCATGGCACCTATTCAGTGTCTATCTGTAGACCCATGCCATTTTATTTAAAAGTCAAATGCCCTGACACAGCCTTGATTATAGAATATGAAATACCAACTTATAAATACTAAAAGGAGAACAAGACAAACAGTTGACTAAATTTGTCACAGGTCATGGCACTGCTAATTAGTAAGTATGACCCTAGTTAGTACAAGTCTCTTTTCTACAGGCCTCAGCTGCCATATCTGTGAAATTAAAGGAGGAACCACATTTTCCCCCAAGTTCCTTCTGTCTGTAATTCTCTGAGGTAGGTAGGTGAACTGTAGGCTGCTGGACCCAAAGCAAGAAGCATAACAAGGCAGTCGATGCAAGCTTCTTTGTTCATTTTCTAGTAAGGCAAATGTGTTTCTGCTGATGTTCCCCTGTTACCACTGTCCTTACTCGGGTTGTGTGGTGCCTCCCCTCCCCTGCCATAAGATGCCTGGGACCAGGGTCTAGTTGATCTATTATCTCTTTCTGATGCTCAGGCTTCACAGCTCCCTCCCTCTCTTTTTTTTTCTCTCTCACAAATCCCTGCCCAGCTAAAGTCTTCCAAACACATCTTTGATCCCATTCTTCCTTCCCCTCTCTCTGAGTTTTGCCTAGTCACCTTTAGGAGAACCTCTTGTTCACTCTACTTACGTAAGATATGCTTTAAAACATAGGTTTAAAATTAATGAATCCATAACAAGGACAAGGAAACAAAATGTAGCACTAGCACACAATAACAGAACCTTGAAAATATTAAGAACTCCTCATTAAACCATAACAAGACACCTCAACAGAAAAACTGTACAAAGACCATGAACAGGCAATTCATTAGAAACACAAAGCAGTGCTCAAACTAAAACAACAAAAAAATACTGTTTTATATCCAACCGGACTGGCCAAAATACCTCTACCATTTCTAAGTATTGGTGAGGATATGGTGATACAGAAGATCTCTCCATCTGCTGATCTACAAATTGATACATCCACTTTGGAAAGTAAATACAAACATTTAATAAAGTTAAAAATGTGCCCATTTTATGAATGAGCCTTTCTTGGTACACAGTCTAGTGACACATACACACACATACATAAGGATGCCCCTTGTACCACTGTTTGTGACAGAAAGAAGTTGGAAATAACCCGAGTGGAAGAACAGTGGAACAGATTTGATACATTCATATAATAACATAGCATATTAAGAGTTAAGTCAATGATCAGTAGATCTATGTGTTCCAATATGCTGAATCCCCAACACAGAATGTTGAAGACAATAAAGCAAACTGAAAAACGAGATGTACTATAATTTATGCAAATTTATGTAAACTGAAATTCCCTCAAATTAGACATTGTTTATATATGAGGTGAAATTATAAAACATATACTACAAATGCACTGAACTCATGTGACAGGCTTGTCCTTGTGGAGGAAGGAATGGGGAAGGGAAACAGGGAAATTCAACTTTAACTGAAATAATTTATTTCTTAAGAAATAAAAAATAATCTGAAGCAATATGACAGACTGTTACTATGTTTTCTTCTTGAGTCATGGAAACAATACTTTGTATTAATGTTTTTCAAATTAAAAAAAAAAAACAAAAAACCCAGTGTATCAAATTCCAATTCCTTCAAAGTTCCTTGGATTTCCTTATAAACATTTCCTTATCCTTTAAAAAAAAACAATTTGTCACATTTGTGATAAATTAAAAAGATTTGTTTTGTCTTCCATTCCACTAACAAAAGTACATTTTTTTCCTTTTGCATTATTGCAAATCTGTGTTTTAGGCACCTATGGGCAATACAGGAGGTGGCAGACTCACTTGAGAACTTGCCACTAATTCTGATCTGCAAAAGTGACTAGCACACTACGGACAACTTGTTTCCAAGTTCTGTTCTTTCTGTTGCTTTTCTCCTAACCAGTTTCAACAGTTTACAGAGATTTAAGCAATGATGCTTTTCAAGGGAGTGGCACTATCACTGTTAAACACACTTTAGCAATATTCAAGCTCTCAGATCAGTGATGAGATTTAAAAGACAATTCCAACTAATGAATCATAAAAGCAAAAATAACATTTAAAATGTGCTTCTAGAAAAGAACTTTACACATAAATTCACTTTTTCAATGAACTGAAACAAGTCCCCAAACCCATAGCCCAGTTGAAAGTTGAATATGCTCTATTTTATGGTCACGAGTCTCTGTGATAGCTTGCATAGTCGTCTGCTTAACACGCTGAAGTATCTACTTTAAAAACACTCAACTTGTTACCAAGTTGTCCTGGACTCAATTCACAGTGACAGTTTTAGTGCTGTGTGTGGGTGATTTAGAAACTTTGGCCCCATTGACATTAGCCAAAATCATGAGATTAAAACCTTATTTTCTGTTTGGGAAAACAGACAATTACCAAGAACACAAGAATTGAAGACAAATTGAATACATTTTCAAGCTCTCCAGAGCCACAAGCCATACCAAGTAGTTACGAAGATCAAAGAAGAATTTCTGGCCTTTTATTTATTTACTTCTATGAAAAATTTCCTAATAGCAGTAAGTAATATGCTTTCATTTTTCAAAATTCTTCAAAAAGGTCTCAGCACAGTGGTTTATGGGTACAGAACTGACCCCTAATTAGATTTCTCTGAACTTAAAAGCAAACAGCTCAGCCTTCAACTTCTTTCTTTGCTACAGGAGACATCAAACAAAAGAAAATGAAGGAAAACCCACATGACTGGGAACTATCATCTATCTTTTGCTTTATTTTTTATTAACCCTTGCCACCAACCACCACAGATCTTTGGTGGTTATATAATATACTTTCTTTCTCTATCCACAAAAAATAAAACAAACCACTGGAGACGAACCTAAGAAAATCAGCTTTATGAACGATAGGAGTGGCCATGTCGAACTGAAAGGAAGTTATGAAATGTCAAGGACTGCCTCTACAGGAAAGATTCACCTTTGTGAGCTGAGTTCTATGCAGTCAGGGTTCTGACGAAAGGGGTCTTCCAACACTTCAGTCCACTGACCAACATTAGAGAATATGTGAAGAGTTCTGACTGTTCTATAGACCTGACTGTTCTATAGACAAGGGACAGATCTGAGCAGCAAAATCTACCCAGGAAAAATGATCTGGTCCTTCTCAAGGATACAGGCTGAAGAATTACCTTTAAAAACAGAAATGTAGCTGGGCTCGGTGGCTCAGACTGTAATCCCGCGCCTTTGGGAAGCTGAGGTGAGTGGATTGCCTGAGCTCACGGGTTCGAGACCCGCCTGGGCAGGCGAGACCTCATCTCTACAATAAATAAATAAAAAAAAAAAATTAGCTGGGCGTGGTAGCGTATGCCTGTAATTCTGGCTACTTGGAAGGCTGAGGCAGAAGGATCGCCGGAGCCCAGCAGGTCGAGGCTGTGGTGGCCAGAGTGGCCACTGCACTCCAGTCTGGGCGACAGAGTCTGAGACTCCAACTCAAAAAAAAAAAGCAACAACAAAAAACAAAAACAGAAATG